CAATTAACTGTGCATATATGTTTAGTAGATATTCAGTACATGGAATGAAGTCATGTAATGCCACTAAAATAATTCAATGTTCTTCCACAGTTTGAATTAAACATGATGCCAGAAAAAGCAACATGTTAAAGTTTGTTGGTTCGCAATACAAAGAAAGTAAAATCAATTAAAGCTCATTATATACTGTTCATTTCCAGTACTTTTATTTCAATTCATCATTCTTAGTGAACTGCTATAGGAAGGACACTGTGCATACATGCATGCACTTTACAAGAACACTGTTTCATTACACAGATTCATTTTTCCACTTACTGTTTTTTAAAATTTTGACTGGAAGCAATAAACAAACAAATAGTGGCAGTGGTTGTTCAAATACAAATAATACACATTCAGAGCAGCTTTTACCTTACATTATTGGTCCAGTACCATTTTAGTGTCCTCCTCACTAATGAACAGCAGAAGACACATTTCTTCCCTGAGTTAATCTTCAGTCTCACTTTGTTTTATAAAATGTAACACCAGAGGGTGTACTAAAAGCAGTGTAGAGTATTTAAAAACATACTGTACAGTAAACCTCATCTATGTGTAGCTTTCCCTGTCAGTGAACTGCAGGTTGATGGGGGCAGCAGGGCAGAGCAGGCCATGGGTTTTGGCCTTGACATCAGTGGTGACAGAAGACATGCCGATGTGGAATCTTTGAATGAGCTGTGTAAGGAGCAAAAACACAGAGATGTCAATTTATATGATTTTATATCTTGATGGGACATCTAAGAAAAAGACACCTTAAGGGCCTATCTTTTCTGGTTTATATTCAAGATTAAATGAGTACTTTTGTATGTTTACCTAGAAGCCGAAAGATCTTTAATAGCACAGCTGGACATGATTTGGGGGAACTTGTGAGTCATTCTGTTTTTCCTGCTCTATGTACATACTATGATGACTTAAGAATGTTAGTTTTACAGTACAAATGATCAAAAATGTTATTTTTCTGTTCAGTTTAGAATTTAGGCTTTCTAACATATTGACTGAAAAGCCTGGTTAAAAAAAACAATGACTATTTAATTAGTATTTATTAGGCCTATATAGTAATATTATACAGCAAATGTCAGTGATTTGCATGGTAGACAATGAAGGCCTGAGATGATTGTGAGTTTTTACATCTGTAAGTCTGTCTTTCTTTTTTCTACTTACTGTAGAAATGTGTAGTTAATTAAACCCATACCCTTGTGAGAGATAGATGCATCTCTAACTCTGCTATTCTCCTGCCGATGCAGCTCCTGATACCGTGGCCAAAGGGAATTGACCCAAAGTTTTCAACATGATCTGTGGAATCTTTCCGTATCCAGCGATCTGGTCTGAAGTCTGAAGCATCAGTGAAGTGCTCTTCATCCATAGATGTGGAGTAGTGACACAGGGCCAACTGAGTCTAACAGAGTGAATAAACAGACAAAAACATCAGCTGTGTAATGGGGAGAGGGTCACGTCACATTTGCTCACACTTTCTCCTGAGCACATGCACACTACAGAAAACTTGTATTATGTCTCTATAGGTCTTACCCCTTTGGGTATAAAGTATCCACCCACCACCAAGTCGTCCTGAGTGATACGTCCATTGCCTGGGAGAACTGGAAAAAGCCTGCTCCCACAGAGGGGGCACAATGACTGTTATTCACTACACTCATCTTCTCACAGTTTTTAATTCTAAGACAACCAGATGAGTGAAAGCCACACTGAGAAAAAGATGAACAAATTAAAGATACTCATGTGAGTGTATTGAACAAAGGCAAGCACTTTTTCCAAAGCCTATTAAACTATTGCTGAGTAGTTTCTATCACTGCATGTCAGAAAATGTCACATCAACAGCTAAAAAGAACATAAAGAAAGGAAGTTGGGAGAGTATAAAGGTCAATGCAGTCTGCACCTAAGTGTCTCCTTGACCAGTGCTCTGATGAGAGGCAGACGAGCGATATCGGCAGCTGTGGCGATTGTTCCAGGTCCCAGAGTACTTGTCACTTCTGTAAAGATTTGCTGCTGTATATGAGGGTGTCGTGCTAATAGGTAGGTGGCCCACGAAAGGGTGAAGGATGTCTAGAGGAAAGAAAAATGATATTTTTAAAAAATTTGTTCTATACATTAGTATTGTTCTTTAGCTATGTCATTGCATTTCTTTTGAGATGTTGCCTTTTTCTTGATGCTTTGCAACAATGCAAGCTGACATGAACGTTTCTATATATTTCCATAAGAAGTGGGAAACAATTAAGGGACAGAGAGAGGATGCTAAGTTCATATGCTAAGCCAACACTAAAGTTCACTCCAGCAGCTGCATTCTCAGCCCTTTGTACCTTGTCTTATATCACTTGCCCCACTCACCCACGCTTATGCAACTGTAAGCTGATTATACGGCCTCCGTTGTGTAACACAGCATTACAGCACATTACTGCCAAGACCCTGCCACCACCTGCATCACCTGCTGTCCAATGTCTCATTACACTCTTAGTAATGCCCCATTCCTGTAGTATTTTTTCAGATTGTCTTATTACTGGTGTAGTTTTTGCTGCCCAGCCTGACCCTGAACACTGCCTCTACCTGTTCGTTCTGCCTGCCTGTTATCAACTCTGCTTGACCTATAGCAAATAAAGAACTTGCTGACTTTTACTTGATTGTGTGTCAGACAATTTACATCAAGTTGAAAATAGTCCTTGGTAATTAGCAAATCTTTTAAACCAGTTCTACCTCTGTTCTCTCCTTCCACAGTGGATTCCCATTACCTCTTCCCATACATCTTTCACTTTCCCTTTCCATCAGACACAACCTGATCATTTTAATCTTCTCCTTACATTATTGCAGCCACTATTCGGTTAAATTGCTTCACTGTTCTCAGTTGTACAGTACCAACTCTTTTTCCTATTTCCACTGAATTAATTTGAATGATGTCAGCTGATTTGGTGTCATCTTTCACATATTCCCATCTTTTCTGACTATACATGCACCTTGTTAACCCAGCCTATATCTCATTTTTTTGCCAGTATCCTGTCTATCCAACAGCCTTGTTTTGGCTAACATTATTCTGAACAGACCCCAAAGGTCAGTCTAAGATCTTGCTGTCCTCCTCATTTCACCTCTGCTCTGCTTTAAATGCACCATGGCTCAGTTAGGTCTGTTTAACCTGCAAATTAAACTATTTCCCCAGATATGATTCTTTGGTGATGTTAAAACAAGTCTTAATAATTTGCAAGTGTTACCTTAATTTTATCTATAAAGTACAACACATGAACATAAACAAAACAGACATCTTGTAAAAGGAAAGGTCTAACAAAAAAAGGCAAATGAGGAACTAAATCTAAGCGAAACCAAGTTTGTCAGTGGGGTGCAATGTGACCCTCCAAATCACTGCTCTGACCTGACTCTGGCACACAGGCAGCAATATGGCACCAGAAAAACAGTTCCTGAAGCTCAACACACGTGACTCCCAACCCTTCAACCTCCTGCTAAAGCCACCTTCAGTGCACCTCCACACCCATCTCAGCCCACTCGCCACATATACTTTTCTGCATAAACACAGGCACACACCGTGTCGACCCCAGCCAGTAGCATCTCCGTTACGTTGGCGTAGATTTCCTCCATACTCAACTCCTTGGTGAGAAGCATGTGAGTGAGCATTCCCCCTTTCACCTCCTCACCCCGCTCTAGCTGGGCCTTGATTTCTGCAAACCTCTTGTCAACGTGAATAAGGCCTGGGATTAAACAGAGAGGGTGGAATGAATGGAAAATTAAAAGAGTAGCCAAAGATTAAGCCCACAATCCCATGACACAGCAGTAAAGATTTATATGTAACTCAATATTACTTATTAGTTAGTTATTTATAAAAAATAAAAATAAAAAAGAGTTTGCAAATACTTACCAGGCTTAAGATTGACTGTTTTTGTATTTTAAAAAGTACCACAGAGAAAGCTTTGCACATCAAAAACAATTTATAATGACCCTTTTAAAAGACCAAGCATCAACTCATCGGACTGGAGATCATTCTGGAAAAGTCTAGACACCTCTTTTCATTCAGTGCTTCTTCTTTGTTTCGGTTATTTTTCACATTGAAGATTAATACTGAATAATCAAATTTATGAAATAACACAACATTATGTAGTAAGTTAAAAAGTATAAACAAAGCAAGATATTCATATTTAGATCTATTAAAGTAGCCACTGTGTGCCCTGATGACTGCTTTGCACACTACTGGCAACATGAAGCTGTAAACTACTTACTGAAATTGAAAAGGCCATCCCAGGAGAAACAGAATTCCTCCCATGGTTTGGGGATAATAGGTCGGAGCCACTTAGGGATCGCTCCAGCATACATGGTTGTCTTAAAGGAGCTGAACATGAGATGCAGTGCATTGATGTAGTCTTGAGTTTCCTGGGGAATTTCATTTTCCAAACAGCCTAGTCGGCACTCGTACAAAATGGCTGCAACACCTGTAAATACAAAGAAGAATGAGGCACATTTTCATTCATTTGTTGTGCACAGTTGGACAGCTGTGACAAGAATTCTTCAGCCATCACTGGTGGAGATCAGTGGTTTGTATCATGGTCACGTGTGTTTGTGAGTGTGTGTCTCAGTTAGCGTTGTGTTTCAAGGTTTGGTTTTCTGGCACTGCATCTGTGCCTGTGTAGATGTGCCGGCATCAGGTCAGAGCTGTGCTCTGGAGGGTCACACTGCGCCCCACTGACAGACCTGTTCTCACTTAGTTTTAGTTTCTCATCATGTATCTTTTTTACTGTATTTGGCTGACAACTCTTCCCCCACACTCAATTTCTCAGAAAATAAGTCTGACCTATGTAAAGTATCTGCAACTTCAGCAGTTGTCAATAGAATTTCAGGACCTGACATGCATAACCATTGACAAATCTTAATTTGAGAGGACTGAACAACATTTTTTTAAGATTTATTGTTCCTGATTCTTTTCTCTCTCCGGTTACCTCCTCCTGCCTACCTTTTGTCCTCTCTAATGGCCTCATTGATTTCTTTTCCGCCTCTCATTGATTCTATATCTGCACTGTCCTTTTATAATGCATCCTGCCCAACTTTAAATTCCCTCACAACCAATCTTTGTGGGATCTTTACCAACCTTCCATGGCATATTTGAAGAAGAGGTCATTCACATTGAGGACAGTTACTCCGTCAGACTCCTGAGCTTGCAGAATACAAATCCTCTTGATCAGGTCATCTACAACTTCATTCACATCATCAGAGTAGACTGCTACATCATGGGGACGCATAATGAGCTGTCTGAGCACACTCCGCATCTTCAGCCAATCTTTTCCCTCACTGGAAAACAGGATACAGGAGACAAGGAGAATTGTTGGCATTTCTGTATATTGTTTACATTTACAAAAACATAAAGGAAATAGTCTATCTTTTATGAGGAATTATAGAACCTACAACTACTGAGGCTAAATTAGGTGGGTAGAGTATCTCAGTTTACTGATACAAATTATGCCTATTGACAAGTATAGATCATGTACATCAGAAGTAAGCTGATCCTGGAAATGGAACCCAAACACCACGTTCTGCACTGTGCCCATCTATATATAGATACTTAAGCTAAAGTGATTATCCTGTCAACCCCTCAGTGATTTATCTTACAATTCTCCCCCAAACTCACAGATCAAAGGTTGAAGGGAACTCACGCTGAGATGAGGCCAGTGGAACGGCCTCTCATGTCTCTGTACTCCTTCCAGGAATCCATGTTTCCTCTCTGAGGGGCCTCACACTCAGATCTCAGCACCTGAGCCACCAGGTCACGATCCGCAATTGAGACCACCAGCTGGGGCCCAAAGCGGGACTTGAAGATTTTGCCATACTTTTTTCTGTGCTCCAGCTATAAAACAGGGATGGCATTATAAAGACACATTTCTTATTTCATTTAGTTTTATATAACTTCTTTTGCAAATGGAGAAAATCCAGCACCACCCTTACTTTATGACACTGATGTAACTTTTCTAAAATAAAAATGTGATTACAACTATTGTATATTTTGGCTGTTACAACGAATCCATGATACAGTTGAGAAATGTACATATTATGCATAATTATTTTTACTTACATAATCTGATTTGATTAGATTAATGCAGATTTAAACTCAGTAGTGTTGTTATGTCAACCAGGTCAGAGGCGTCACTGTATAGCCAAAGGACAGTTTGTAACTAGGGCACTATTAAATCTTAATCGACTTTATTAAAAACTGAGATACACTGTACTTATACTGTACATAGACTATTGACGTTAAGGTTATCTTTTCATGCATGTCCTACCTCAAGTGAAGTGTTATTACTGGTAACTAGTGAGCGGAACCTGCTCAGGATGTATGCTAGCTCTCTCTACTTTTCTCTCACTCTCCCCTCCCTCCCTGTCGAGGTTGAGTTGTGTGCTATGTTAGCAGCTAGCTAACTGTTACGTGAATGGCGTAGAACATATTGAATAACCGGTGAGCAGTCTGTACGTATGGTGTTTGTGTGGCTGGAGGTGTGACATCATCAACATAACGTTCTGACAAGAACTGATCATAACACTGCGACACAATAACCAGTCATAAATGTATCAGTTTCATAACACTTTAGAAAACCTATCAAAACTGTGATATAGCCTATGCAACACATACTACATTCTAGTTTTAGATTTACTTCTAAGGATCACATTCATGGTATGCTTTTACGCAACGGCTTGTGCCATTTCACGCACGGATGGAAAATGTGTAAAGTCGACAAGAAAAGGTGCAGGGGCACTATTACCTGAATGTCATGGATTCTACTAAAACCGTCTCTCCAGAAAAACTCGATCAAATTAGCTAAGGTGCTTGGCCCGGGCATCTCCTTCAGCGTCTTAATTCTGGTTTCCCCGCCAACATCCTGGGTTTTGATCGAGCGTTCACCTTCTGCAGCCGCAGACATTCCATACGCTTCGCTGGCTGCTGACTTGTGTAAGGCACGTAAAATGAAGAACAGCTGCTTATTTGTACGGTTGGCCAGAAAATTCCTCCAATATGTTGCCATGAAATGATTGAGCATTGCCATTACTTGGTTGCCTTTCGGTGTTTCCGTAAAAAAAAAAAAGAGTATAAAATTGAAAAAGCTAAAAGCGCAAGGGTCGCATTTGTAAGTATCAGTTTCCTCTTTAAATAGCAGCTTTTACAAAATCCGAAGCTGAATGAATGGCTCTGTATGTGGGCATGTATGTAGGTATCACGTAGGTGTGGGCGTGTATGTAGGTACCACGTGGGTGTGGGCGTTCCCCTCAAAAGCTGTTGGGTTTATCCTTTCACTAGAAAGTGCCAGACAGAGCTACATCAGTGTGTGCGCATGTACACAATATCCCCAGCAAACACGAAGACTGAATGGCATTAATGTGATTATACACATGAAGCAAAATATTCATGTTTACATCAGTCATAACACAAAGAAAAATCCCTCAAATCATCAGCTGGATAAACAGTATATATGAAAGTGTTCACCTTTTTGTTTATGTTTAGCAGTTATCTGACCAAATACTGATATATTATGTACAATCGGGGAAGGCAGATTGCAAAGATACCTTATCTATGTCTTGAGCTGATAAGGCATGAGATTTATTTGTGCAATAATTCCCTTGAACATGATACAGTGCCTTGCGAAAGTATTCGGCCCCCTTGAACTTTGCGACCTTTTGCCACATTTCAGGCTTCAAACATAAAGATATAAAACTGTAATTTTTTGTGAAGAATCAACAACAAGTGGGACACAATCATGAAGTGGAACGAAATTTATTGGATATTTCAAACGTTTTTAACAAATAAAAAACTGAAAAATTGGGCGTGCAAAATTATTCAGCCCCCTTAAGTTAATACTTTGTAGCGGCCAACACAAACTAGACTTTTTCAGTAATTTGTTGCTTTGCTTTCCTTCATCAAAAGGACCTAAACAATTGTTAACCTCAGCTCGAAAATGATTTTCAGAACTCAAAGATCTCCGGTACAGCCTAACACTAAACAATTCCTCATGATCTGCCTCTGCAGGGGTACTAATGCCATCGGAGCCACACTGTATAAAACAAATACATGAAACGATCGATTTAATTCATGTAGACTGATGAATGCACTTTTGACTGTTTTGGCATTTTGTGATGTGACTTTGTGGTGTTGGGTGCCTTTAATCCTTGTGTATTTCATCTCACTCCAACAGTGTGTGAATACATTTTATATACTTCTGTTTGCAGGAGTGTGTGTGTGTGACAGACAAATAACATATGTACAATAGGTCAGAACAAAACTATCTGCCCAGTTAATGTAATTGTAATATGATCGTTAAATTGGCTCATGGATAGATGTTAAAACGAACCACCCTGTTGTTTATCTGTATTCAATGGCCCGTGAGTCAAAATTCACACCTAAAGTCATTCAAATGAATCATCATTAGCGTGGAAGGAAAATACTTAAACAAGTCTCACTCATCCACTAACATGAATTAGCGAATTGCGTGTTTGCTTAACTGCAACTAACAAAACGAGGATGTAGGTAAATATTGAAATTCCCTTCGATTGGTGGCCAGTCTGTAAAGCACCGGGTGAGCAGGCGCTCCCTATTGATGAGCTTCAGCTAATCCATCGCATTTCCCTGTAAATAGCTTTCTGCATGAGAAAGAGACCCCCCCCCCCCCCCC